ACTTTTTTGCGAATTAAGGGATTTTTTTTGGCGTTTCCATCACTTGTTTCTTATGCGATAATTCAAAATGCGCATTAAAATAGGGTGATGGAAACACAGCTAGTGACCCAAAGCACACAGCAAAACTGAGCACACAGTGGTTGAAGGAGAAAAAGGTGAATGTCCTTGCATGACCCACTGAAAATCTGTGGAATGACTTGAAGACTGCAGTCCACAAATGGTCACCATCAAATTTAATTGAACTAAAGCAGTTCTGCAAAGAAGAGTGGGCAAATAATGCAAAGCCTAGATGTGCAAAGTTAGTAGAGACATAAAGGCTGTAATTAAAGCAAAAGGTGGTTTAACAAAATACTGACACAAGCGGGTGATCCTTTTTCCAACTCAGTGATTCTGTTTTTTGTTTCCTGACATGTTGGTGTTATATCTTTCACGTGGATATTATAAGTTGCACTAAGTAAATACAGCTGGATAAAACAAAAACTGTGTCCATCTTCATTTCAGGCTGCAACAATTGTGATTATTTTAAAAGGGGCAATTATTTTCTATACCCACTGCATGTGTGTGTGTATGTATGTATATATATATATATGTGTATGAAGAGTTCATTTGCAAAAACAGATAACTCAGTTTTTAACAATTTTGTTTTTCATTGTGAATTCTAATTAATTTCAATCAAACTGCAGTTGGGTTATTTTGATTAGGTTAAAAATAACAAAAAAATACAGATAACTAACACAATAAAAACATGATAACATAATAAAAAATAGGATTTTTGAAAAAGTTATCTGTTTTTGCAAATAAACTTCATATATATATTTCTTCTATTTCTTCTTATTCTACTCAATTAAATGCAAATGAGCGTTCAGGGAATTCTTATAGGATTCTCCATTTTAAAATTAAAACAGAAGTTTGGAAAGACGGGGATGGAATGAATGAATGATTTTTAGGTTAACAATAAGAGAGAACAAATTAATGTTTTCATATTACATGAGTTCAGCAAGATTTAAGCTCTGTTCCAAACTCGAAACGAATGATTCATCTTATCTGAGTCTAGATGTAATCAGTGTGGTCCTGAATCAGGGTTTGCAAACAGTTTACAGATTATCACCCGACTGCCAGCTGAGATACGTCAGTTATCTGAAGTTCACTGAACCCTCTTTGTGCAGTAATGAGGATCCATTAGCATGTAACTCGACACTGTTCCTCGATCAGAGGCAGCAGATGCTGATGTCTTTACACGGCTATTAGCAAGAGGCGTAATCTGTACTCTCAACATTAAATGAAATTAAGAAGAGCTGAAAACTGCACAACTTGCAGACAGAGAGAGTTTCTTAAAAAACAACATATGTTGTGTTTTAGACGTTGGTCCTCAACCGGCTTCATAACTAGCTATCCAGTATGACTTCCTTGGTCAACCAGTCTGTCCTCTCACAGACAATGCTGGTTGACCAGCTTCACCAACTGGTGAACAGCATGGCTATCATGGTCAACTAGCTAGATCAGCACCAATCCAGCATGGGCCAGAATGGAAATTTCTGTTCAGCAGTGCTAAAATACAATCTCACTGTTTTTATTTACTTTTACATTTTCATTTCATTTTGAAGAGAACGTCAGATACAAGGGGTTCACGATTAATCGAATGCGATTGTCACGCGCATTTTGTTAGAAAAGCCGGTTCTGTAATCAGCAGGCTCTTTGTGCAGTAATGAGGATCCATTAGCATGTAACTCGACACTGTTCCTCGATCAGAGGCAGCAGATGCTGATGTCTTTACACGGCTATTAGCAAGAGGCGTAATCTGTACTCTCAACATTAAATGAAATTAAGAAGAGCTGAAAACTGCACAACTTGCAGACAGAGAGAGTTTCTTAAAAACAACATATGTTGTGTTTTAGACGTTGGTCCTCAACCGGCTTCATAACTAGCTATCCAGTATGACTTCCTTGGTCAACCAGTCTGTCCTCTCACAGACAATGCTGGTTGACCAGCTTCACCAACTGGTGAACAGCATGGCTATCATGGTCAACTAGAGATACCATAAGAACAAAATTTTAAGCAATCCCAAAATGCAGTACGACAAGCTTAGCAAAACTATTTGTCATGATGGTGAATGTGGTCAAGGGTAAATTTAAAATAAATAAATAAATGAATTAATTAACAAACAAATACAATAAAATAAAAATTACAACAAATATGTATGAAAAATTAATAAAATAATATTATTTAAAGTAATATTTATTCAGTAGTGGAAAGTAGCAATTGAAAATAGTTTTTTGTAAATAATAAATTAATTAATAAAGAACAAAAAAGGAGGAAATGAGCAGTTGGTCCCTTTGAGGATTTATTTCAACCTGATTAATCTACATTGAGATCAGACATTATTTTAACATCAATAAAACAAATGAATCAATATTATGTCAACAATACACAGGTGAAACTCATATTCACATATCACGATCATGACAAAAATAAGAAATTACATTTTGAATAAAGATATTTAAAAACCATTAAGGTTGTTATTTATGGTTACAGAACTGGCGCAGGATAACTGTCAGAAAAAAATATTTTTTTGTCTCTTTTTCTTAAGTTTCAGATCAAGGTAAACCCTAATAAGGCTGCTATGCAGTTCCTATTGTTTTTTTGGGTGGTTGCTAAGGTTTTCTGATGACTTGAAACATGTTGCTATGCAGTTTAGTTGCTAGGGTGCTTTAAATGGTTGCTAGGTGGTTGCTAAGGTATTATGAGCGATTTAAGAATGTTGCTGTGCAGTTTAGTTACTAGGGTGTTTTGAATGGTTGCTAAGGTATTATGAGTGATTTAAGAATGTTGCTCTGCAGTTGCTATGATGATTTGAGTGGTTGCTAGGTGGTTGCTAAGGTGTTATGTGTGATTTTAAGCATGTTTCTGTGCCACAAATGAATTTTATGTAAAAAATACATAGGTGAAACTCACATTAACATCAAGAAATTATAGATAGAAATTACATAAAGATAAGAAATTATATTTTGCATAAATAAAGAGAATTTAAAGACCATTAATATTATAAGAATGACAGTTAAGCACATTTTCACCCAAATTATCTTTATTTATTTATTTATTTATTATTATTTTTTGTACTTTGTATATTTATATATAACTTGCACACATTCTGGTAACCATAATGCTGAAAAAAGTTGTACATAATTGTTTAAATTTAAATATATATATATATTCAAATTTAAACAATTATGTACAATTTTTTTCAGCATTACGGGTTACCAGAATTTGTGCAAGTTAATTGTCACAAAAAAAACTAATAAGTAATAAGTTACATCAATATTTAAAGTCCAAGATTAATACTGTAGAAGTTTAAATCTTTATATTACTTCATAAGCAGGTTAATTGCACTTAACTTGAAACTCTGAGTAAACAATTTAACTGATTCCTCCCTCATGTGGTCCTTTTGTCCAGTCTATAAATACACAAGTAAAATCTATAGGAGAGATGTGATGAGAGCGTCTCAGTAAACAAGTTATGAAACAGTGCCAACATGCGTCTAATATACCGGTCTCAAAATAACATGTTGCGGTTCAGACGTCATCACTACAGAGGGAGGATCTAAGACACTATCAATCTTTGTGTGCACGCATGGTTTGGCCAATGACGCTGAATAACATTTACATCCCCAGATCTTAGCTTGTGTCACATTAAGTGTGCTTGAGCTGATGAACTGTCACCTTGTTCCCTGCGGAGAGAAGCTCCTGTCCAAACACAATCCTGTTACCGCAGCTCATCTGGACAAATGTTTGTCTGTGTCCCTCTTGGATGTCATTTCTCTTAACACTGTTGAGATAAACAGGAGAGAGTGAGAGTGATGCAGACAGAAGGGAAAGTCAAGGATGAGCTCTTCCGGAGTGACCCTTTAACGAAGCAGCTCTGATCACCATCACAGACGCTGTGAACACAATGACACACTGCACATTTACTGCATACACATGCAAAACTCACCAACATATGGAAGCCTGTTTCCGCCACTGAGTAAAAAAAAAAAAAGTAATTGCGACTTTTTATCTCACAATTCTGACTTTTTCTCGCAATTGCGAGTTTACATCTCACAATTCAGATTTGTTTTCTCAAAACTGCAAGTTATAAAATCGCAGTTGGGTGTAATAAATTCACAATTGCATGATATAAACTCAGACTTTATATTTTAATTAGAATTTATAATTTCGAGTTATAAAGTCAGAATTGTGAGATATACCAGAATTGGACTTTATTGAATTTTCGCAATTTAGAGTTTATGTCTCACAATTTTAAGAAAATAAATCAGAATCGCAAGATATAAACTCACAACTGCGATAAAAAAAATAAATGAAAACACCTGAAAATTATTTTAAAACTTCCTACCTGAATTTCCTGGACTCCAAGACCCTCGTCATGGTAACCGCACTGGAAACTTCCTCTCAGGCCTGTAGTTCAGTGGTGAGGCACTGAGAGCGGCCCACAATGGCAACACAAATAAACATCTCTGCGTAAAAGTGTGCGATTTCCTTTTAGCGTAGGCTTTTGCTGTAACCCGTAGACCTTTTGCTGTTTGTTGCGTAGGTTCTCTGTCATAAACCACAGACCGATGCTCTATCTACATTCATGCCTTCAGATGGCTTTTTCTTGCCAAAACTGTGCAGAAGGACAAATTGAGCTCCTGAAAGAAATATGGAGACCATGTTATGAGTATGTACACATATTTTTTGTTCTTCTGTAAAATGCAGTATGATCAAAGGATTGTTGTAATGAGTCTTATCTTCACACCAAATGCCATTTTTAGAGACGGCTGCCATTTCTGTCTCATGCTTTACAACAGCAATGTGTGAATGAAGCGAGAGATGCAGCAGAGATGAAAGAGAGTTTCTGTGAATTGTGAAAACCCGTGAGGGGTCTTAGGTAGGGTATGTGCATTAAATATGGCAGAAAAAAATGTCTCTGCTAAAGAATTTCCCCCATTTAAACTGCCAATCATTCTGTAACTTTCTCACACAACTTTTAAAAGTGATCCACAGCATTTCTGCCTCTACAAGTGGTAAAACACTCTGCTTTTACAGTGACTAATGCCATAACGGGTAACCCACATATACTTTACCCTTACCAAGTCGAGCAGAGGAGGACGGGTGTCCTTTTTCGAGCCATTGTTCCTCCTACGGTTTCTTCATAACCCTGTGTTTTCCCTGACATCTGTAGAGGCCACTTCACAGCAAAAATTAAACAAAAGGTTAAAAAGACAGTGTGATGTCTCTGCTAAAGAATTTCCCCCATTTAAACTGCCAATCATTCTGTAACTTTCTCACACAACTTTTAAAAGTGATCCACAGCATTTCTGCCTCTACAAGTGGTAAAACACTGTGCTTTTACAGTGACTAATGCCATAACGGGTAACCCACATATACTTTACCCTTACCAAGTCGAGCAGAGGAGGACGGGTGTCCTTTTTCGAGCCATTGTTCCTCCTACGGTTTCTTCATAACCCTGTGTTTTCCCTGACATCTGTAGAGGCCACTTCACAGCAAAAATTAAACAAAAGGTTAAAAAGACAGTGTGAAAATGCCATCCAGTCAATCACAACATATTAAATGCAAGACAACCCCCATCTTATTATACAAATTTCACTCACTTTAATGCAAAATATGTCCCATTTAGAAAAACAGCATTTTATTCAGACTTTAAGCACGCATTTAGACTTGAAATGGAGTTACATTAACATATACTTAAAAATGTTAGCACAACATTAAAATTACATTTTGTTTCTAATACTTTTTGTCTGGTAAAATGGCTATATTCTCAGATTTGAGCTCTGAGTTTCCTGCTGTGTTTCATGCACATCTACAGGTAAAACTGATGAGTCTGTCCAACAGCTCTTTGCATACAACTGATAAACAGTGTTGATCTATGCTAGAGAGAGGTCATATATATAGTAAAACAAAATGTATCCAGAATTAACGTGTAACCACAGAAGCCACATAAAAACAGGAAGTACTCTCTTTGCTGACAGGAAGTGGGTGAAAAACACACGTATAAGCACAAGCCAATGTTGTGCTGCATATGTATGGCTGCGTGTGTGAAAACTACTTTTGCTGCATTCAACTTGTAAGATTGGAACTGTTTCACACTACTTGTGTTGCGAACTAAATCTGAGAAGCTTTGAGCCACATCCCACATCCTGATACACCTCTCCCTGCAGCGTTATATGCTGCTGAGCACAGTAATTTTACACACTTTCAATATTACATTACAGTAAGTATACATCAATGAGTAGCGATTTAACCTTCAGCAGGCCATTCATCTTTAAACCATAACTCACTGTGCTGATACTTTTCTAAGTGCTCAAACTTATGATTTCATCTTGTAGTTGCTAAAACTGTAAAAAAAAAAAAAAAGCCTATCAACCACTAAGAAGACATTAGCAACTGCATAGCAGCAGCCTGTCCACCCAAAACACCCTAGTAACTGTATTCTAACGTCCTATAGCAAACACTCGGACCACCCAAGTAGCTGCATAGCAACACCTTGGCAACCATCCAGAACACTCTGGCAACTGCATAGAAACGACCTGGCAACTGAGCAAAGACACCCTAGAACACCCTACGATTGTGGCATGGGCAAACCTTATCAATCACGTTTTAATGTTGTTGTTTTTTTCAGAACATGTAACAATCTAGTTGGAAAAGTTACACACAAGAGGACAATACAGTTACAAAAGAAAACCCGAAACACATATAAACAGTCCAAACTTCAATATGATGTTGTATGATTACCAATCCAATCTGTAAACTCAATATATTCATTTATTTATGCTACAGCTCCATCAAGACTCCATCATCATCATGAAAGTAGGTCAGTTCATTCCCCTCTGCCAACACAACTGTCGCTGGGTCCTTGCTGCTCCTTGTTTAAACAGAAGGGAGATTTTCAATGCGCTTTGGTTTATCCATTATGTTTACACTTTGAGACATATTAGTCACGGTTCTTTTCAACTTTATTAGTCACTATGTCGAAGGCATATGACTAGCGCTCAAGCGTTACAAGATATCCTGTTGTGACCTCCCATTAGCCGGCTGTTGAGTGGAAGGGCTCCTCTCTCGGGGACTTCACTTTACCTGTGGCACAGAGATCTCTGTTATTACTGAACGTCAATGCCTTAGCATTGGATATCTTGACCTATTGTGTATTACAGTCCTTAGGTGCAAGAAATAACTATGACCTCTTATTGCTCTATTGTTGCTCACATTGTGTGGCTGAACCTTTGCTATTTACCTTTTCTAATAATATTTTACTACCCTGTGCTGTTGTTCTCAGAATAATGAGTCATCTACCTTCCAGATGCTTGTTGTTTTATGTTGTCCATCTTATTTTAGCATCTTGTTTATGACGTATTGTAAATGAATGTGTCATATATCGCTCTCTATACTTACATGATAGTGTTACAGATGCCTCTGGCCAGTGGAGATACAGATAACTAAAAACCTTTGTCCTTAACTGAATCTTTAAAGGAACAGTCATACAAAAATTAAACCAAAATGTACCAATTTACTTATTGTCTCTTGTGTCATTCTAAATGACTTTCTTTCTTCTGCAGATAACAAAGCAAGCCATTTTAAAGAATGATCAATGTATTGCTGCCCATTCAACAAAAACAAGACATTTTAACATAAAAATTCAAGTTGGTTTATCAAGGCAGGTTTGATGACACAACTAGTTCCCCTAAACACATCTGTTTGAATATGCAAAAGACCAAAAATAGGATTTGAAGGGGTAGATCATCAGTGAATAAAGACTAAAATAGTAACACTTTACAATACAGTTTTATATGTTAAAACATGAACTGACAATGAACAATAGATAGAGATGGATAGATGGATAGATAATTGAATAATTGATATATTCATTGTTTTTTAACATTAAAGGTGGATTGTGAATGAACAATGAACACGATGAACAGTAATTATATTTGTAAATCAATAATAATCAATTATTGTTCATGGTTAGTATATGTTCGTTACCCAATGCATAAAGTACACAATAATGTTTGCTTTGTTGCAAAGTGTTTTCATCATATGGCTTCATACGACTTCATGTGTAGAGTCATATGACTTTCTTTCGTGATACTTTTTATGAAACATTAAGGAATCTCAATGAAAAAGTGCTGCATTAACATTCTTCAAAATGTCTCATTGAGTGTTTCACATTAAAATACAGTAATAAGTCAAATGCAGGTTTGGAAAAAAGACGACAATTTTGAATCTGATCATTAATCAGTGTTGACAGAAGATATGAATCAGATTAGTAATCAATGTGTGTGTTTTGCATGAAGCATGTGGCTGCTGGATTACTCAAGGTGTTGAGCTGCAGGTGGTTTCAACTGAGGTTTATAGAGTGAAAAAACAAACACGTGAAGGGCTCGTGAACACCCCACTAAGTGTGACCAGGGACACGTAAGAACATCACAGACCGCCTTTACCACCCCCCTGCGATTGTAAAGGAGGCAATGACTCATATTAAAAAGACCAAATTGGGCAAAAAAACACTCAAAGAGAGAAACACACACACACACACACACACTTTCTCTCCAGCCAGCAAACTAAAGTGTGAACTGACAGAATTTAAAGGGTGTGATAGAGGCTATTTACACGAAGTGAAAATAGCAGTATTTTTTACTGATATGCTATTTACACTATAGGTGCAAATAGCTATAGATAGTTAAAATAGCAGGATATTCTGCTAATTACTTAGTGCAAATAGTGTCAATTATCTGCACCTCAGCATTGTAATACATTATAAAACAGTGTGCAATAATAACTTATTGAGTGTAAATTTCACTTTTAATTCAAATTATTAAATGGATGTCACCTTATTGGGACAAAAGCCCTCCCTATACCTAACCCTACCCGATAATTTATTTTCAACTTTTTGATTATTTCCTTCATTTTTATTAACAATAAATGCTTTTCTGATGTGATCTGAAATTTGAAAAGGGAGAAAAAAAGTTTGGCAAAAGGCAGATTAGAACCCGGGTTGATCACGTCAAAAAAAGTATGACACACGCTTTACCATCTACGCCACTGAATCTGACAATTAATGATCGTCTTTTGTAATATTGACTATCCAAATCACACGGATTTAGTGTAAATAGCCTCTGCCAACAAGGCGGGCTATTTGCACTTAGTGTAAATAGACACACCGATTTTTTTTTTATTCCCAACAGTTAAACAGTTGCCCACAGAAAAAAAACAGGGGGTGCTGCAGCACCCTCAGCACCCCCACTTCCCTCGCCTATGCCCTCAAGTCATCCTAGGTGTAAATGACTTTCTTCTTTCAGACAAATCCAGTCGGAGTTATATTAAAAATGGTCTTTGATCTTTCAAGCAGTTTAATGGCACTTAGCGGGTGTTGCAGTGCATCAGTCCAAAAGAAGTGAAATAAAAAGCGCCCATCCATAATAAAAAGTGTCTCACACGGCTCTGGGGGGTGAACAAAGGCCTCCTGTAGCGAATCGATGCGTTTCGAACTTACGTTTCGATACGGTGTCGAGATTCCGAAGCGCAGATGTTTTGAAACACCCATGTCACATGACTAAGACGAATCAAAGCATCGGGGAGTTTCACAAGTGTTTTGAGATCCGAATCTGCTTTTGATCGACAGGGTCAGGAACAAACCACACAATCGCACATCTGTCTTAACCTAACTCCCGCAAAGTATAAAAGTAGAGTTAATGCAGTAGAATAATGAATATATTTAAATAAAAATCTTTATATGTAAAAAATGCCAGGCGTTGTGGCTTGATGCCTTTTATTAATGTTATTTTTTAATTTGTTTGAACAAAATAACATTCACAAAGAGTTCATTCAATTGTCAGAGAAATGTTACAACACATTACAAGACCAGAACAATAAAAACACAACTTTCAAATAGGCTATTTATTATAATTACATGCTACACCCGGGATTCGAACCTAAAGTAACAGGTTCTGACAACATGTCAATCAT